TTTTTGGGCAAAGTAGCATTATTCGGGTTTGATAGTGTAAACATCATTGAACTCAGCATCTTTGAAATAAATTTAAAATCAGCTACACAAAAACATTTATAACTTCACGATATCAACAATACTCTAAAGAACAGCTTAGCATAGCATAAACTATTAAAAAGACATTCGCCACAAATATGAATTTGACAATCCTGATTTTCGAAATTAACTAGCGAAGGGAAGAATAGTTAAATTTGATTTAAGGCAAAGAATGTAATATTTCTTTTTATTACAAGAAAAATGGTGAACCAGAAAACACAATCCATAACGAGAGACTACACTTCCTAAACCCGTAAACATATCCTTTTCCTGTCACAATGTAGTAAGAAAGTATTCACAAGACTCTCTTGCCCTGGAAGACAAAAAAAAATTGAAAACTAGGAACAAAAGTTTGGAGTTTTGCTACCAATTTTGAGATCCTTCCAAGAATATTTGACTCAAGTAGAACAGCAGCCGCCCCTCTTGGTATTCCCATGTGAAATGCTGACATTGATTGTGGTACCCTGGCCGGGAAGTGCAGTGGCAGCCGCTGCTTCTTGGGCTGCCAATGCCTTCTTGCTGATGATATGGTATATTTCCGTCAAAATAGACTGGAAAGCCTTGTCGACATTATATGCTTCTAGTGCCGATGTTTCAAGGAATGAGAGTCCTTCGGTCTCAGCCAAAGTTTGACCATCGTTATCCGCAACTGCTCTTAGATGGTTAAGATCGGATTTGTTTCCGGCCATCATGATTACAATGTTAGAGTCTGCGTGTTGTCTCAATTCCTGAAGCCACCTTTGGATGTTGTCGAAGGTTTGTCTCTTGGTTACGTCATAAACAAGGAGTGCGCCAACAGCCCCTCTGTAGTAAGCACTGGTAATGGCTCTGTACCTCTCCTGGCCTGCTGTGTCCCATATTTGGGCCTTCACCGTCTTTCCTTCTATCTGTTCCATACAAAATTGTAAATTAGTCCACACAAAAGTATATACAAAACCACTAGCTGTAACGCATCAATACTTTAACAAGACATGCAAGCATTTTCCCCAATATGAAATGACTGCTCAAAGAATATTGAAAATGTGAAACAGAGTTGAAGATACGTAGAAATTATAAATGATGGACTACTGTTCACTACATTATAGAAATGATAAAGCAGAAAGCAACGCAACTATGTCATTACGGTGGTCGTCAAAGGCATTGAAAAAAATAATCACAATAAGACATCTCCGAGACTTTTTTCTTTTTTTCACAATAAGGACATTTCAAAAGATACACAAGTACACAGCCGAGAATGTTTTAGATATCAGATAAACTGTAAGTATACACAGAATAAATTTGTGATACATGTTAGAATGCAAATCTTCATTTGATATCACATAACCTCTTTAAGAGCTAACTAAAACTCAATGATCTCAATCTGCTAAGCTAATTATCGTGGTTTTAAAGATTAAAAGACAAACTAGGTATTGATCATTCGCCATCATCCTAATTTGTCAATTCATTCGTAATCTTCTCATTGGTTAGTACTAAAATCAATAATCTAAAATTCTTCATCAATGCATCACTCAAATTACATAAGAAATTTAAAATCACAGTAATCACTTCTCTGGTCAATCCACGCAAGTCACAAAATATTTACCCACTACAACATCTCAAATCCATGAAAGTAATCAAGAACAAAATAAGCAGATTAAACAGAAGATAAGCGAAAAATTAGAACAGACCTTAAGAGTTTTGGTGGCAAACTCAACTCCAATGGTGGATTTGGACTCCAAGCAGAACTCATTTCTCGTAAATCGGGACAAAATGTTGGATTTCCCAACACCCGAATCCCCAATCAATACGATCTTGAAAATATAATCATACTCTTGATCAATTCTATTAGCCATTTCCCTGTACAATTATTTTATCTTTATTTTTTCTTCTCACTCACACACCTACACAAAAAACCCACAATCAAAATTCCAAAGAGATAAAAAAAATCAGATCCAAATAATTCAGATCTATATATCAAGATCCCAACCAAAAGAAAAAAAAACCCATAAAGAATGAAATTCATGCACATAATTAAATGGGTTTGCATTGCTTACCGTAAAGGAGAGATCGGATAAAAAATGGGTGAGTAAAGAATTAAAATTTCAATTTCAGATTCAAAATTCAAAGTAAAAGAAAGAATTGGTTTCCAGAAATAGGGTACTATTACAAAAGGAAATAAGCACAGAAATGGGAAAAAGGTCAAAAGAAAATACTATCAATAGATTTGAAATGTCAAATATGCGTTGGTAATATGGGTGTGTTTTCTGATTTATATGCGGCTAAATTCAAATTCAAAAACAGAGAAGAATTTTGATGGGGTCATATACAAATGGGGACGCGTAGAATCTTGATTTAAATATCAAATTAATAGGGTGGATTGGTGTCGTTTGAGTTGACAAAAATGTGACCTAGAATTTGGCCGACAAACGACAATGGCGGACTGGCAGGGGATTGCAATTTGGGAAGGCTATGCGAAAGTTCGTGGCTTCCATGCATATGTAGCCACGTCAAGGGTGGCTTGTCCTAGAGCATAGGGCATTTTTTATTTGAAATTTGGAAAATGCTATGGGTGAACCCAATGGACACTCAGCCCCCCATTTGGGGGACACCTGACGAACAGGCGCCCCCGCCGCATGTGTACACTTTTGGTAAAATTCTGTTTCTAAAGAAAAATTACAGATTCTCACATGGACTAGACCACATTTGAATTAAATATTGTAAAAACAAGGGAGCCATGCTTTATGCCCCAACTCAATGACCGGGGCATGTTGGCGCCCCCACATTGGAGGGCCCTATTAATGCCCCGATCATTGAGCCAGGGCATTCAGTCTTTTCCAAAAAAAAGGGTCCCATCTATTGTGTGTCTAGAGTCATGCTACTTATATAAATTTAGGTTACAAAATTGGTTTACAAAATACGTATTGACAACATCTTGGCCAATGGTTTAAAAAAACAGTTTTTGAAATCAATGATTTAGATGTTGCCACATCATTTTATCAACACACTTTTATAAACCACCTTTGTACAAGTAGCATAATTGTTGTGTCTATTCTGTATGATGTCTCTATATTTTTTTTCTGTACACCCAGCAGATTCCACACTTATGTACACATGGCACAATTCTTGAAATTTAGGTGGCATTTATTTGGAAAGATTTTTTAATAATATCTATCTGTAATTTAAATTTTGTCTTTAACATATATTTAATAGAAGAAAGAAAAAATAATAAACATGAAGGAGAAAAAAGAATAAGCAAGAGAGATAAAGAGAGCGAGAGAAATATTAAATTACTTTAGACGAACCTCTGCTTCTAGATGATCTTCTGACAGTGTCTACTTTTCTCCTTGCCACATCACATAAACATAGTCATAGTATCATAGATATGATACTGTTGACGCACAAAATGTACAACCCAATTCAAATGGCCCAAGAAAGGAAATGACCCAAGAGAAGAAGCTCATTTAGCGAGATCAGGGTAAAAGCCCGACCAAGAATGTCATTAA